CCCGACCAAAGGAAAGTAATCAGACTGAAGGGAAATAATATTTAGTTGGGAAATAACCAGAAAAAACCGAAGTAATCCCTGTCAGACCAATGGGAAGTGACCAGACTAAAGGGAAATAAGTCGTAGACCAAAGGGAAGTAACAATAAAGTCCCTTTATAATTAAAAAAAGAAGGGATGCAATGCTGCTACTGCTATGCCTGTTGAAGGAGAAAGTTGCAGGAGATTAAACCATGCCTATCGTTTTTGCAATATGTACGCCTTGGGGGAGATCCGTGGGTTTTGGGACGTGTGTGTGGGGCATAATCCGGTTTTGGCTCCAACGATTACTACTATACTACCCTACTACAGTCCTGCAATCCTACCCTTCACCCTACACCCTTATCCCTAATCATAACCCTAACCCCAGTCACCTAGTCCTCATCCTAAAAACCATATAAAATTACTATAATAATGTTTCATTATTTTTGGAACCATAACCGAAGATTGCCATGTATGGTTGTTTTTAGTTTTAGTGGAAGTTTTTACGGCGCTCGCAAAGCATAAGCAAGGTCATATGAGCACCATGTGTGGTTGTTTGTTTAGAGGGTTAGGGGAACAGGCACAACAAATGTAGTGGACTTTGACTTACTGACAGCAGTCTGTCAGCAAATTGCTTAGCTCTAACTCACTCAACACGTCTAAACCAAGCGCCTGGGCCGGTGCCTTACCTTTTTTCGGTTAAACAATGGAAAAGAGATTTATTGTTGATAATAATTTTTATCCAGTTTCAAGTGAATCTAAACTAATATTTATAATCAACATTCAGAAAGCACTTCGCCGATATGAAGGAAGACGACAGATAGGGGTTCACTGATAAGTTGTTGCACTGCAGATTTTCTGTTTAATCAACGGTGGCTCGTAACTATGTTGTCACCGCCTCCTGTCACAATGATCAATTCCGCGCGAAACCGCGTTCCTAGTCGGTGATTTCCCCACTTGCCCACAGGGCACAAAGAGAAAGCCTCAAGTTGCCAATTTAGCTTCTCGGTTACATATTTGTATAGAATGAGAAGACTGTCTTGAATCAGTACATTGAGTACGATTAGTAACATTAATCAGTAAAACTGTCTTTAGCTCCTGTCAGTACATTTATTGTCAGCATGGCTCTAATTTTCATCGCGTATTGAATTAGCTTGTGGTCACCCATGGTTCTGTTTGGTGTTCTATTCGTCACTTACTTCTTACTAAAACCTTACCTGGCCAAGAACCCCGACCGGCGATTGTGATAAGTGGCCCGTAAAGTTACACAAATGTATAGAGAGAATTTTACAAAGGATGAGAGAAGAGTGCTAAATTAACGAGAGGCACTCGACTGACGCACTCTGGGCAGCCAAAACAATACATGTACCCACACCCCTCGGCTTTTCCCTCATCCCGGCCAGACACGGAATTCTATAATTAGTATTTGATAGAGTTACTCACTTAATACAGTCTTCTGAGAAGTGCAACTAGAGTGTTGCATGACAAGACAAGGAATTGTGTTCTAAGTTCAGTGGTGAGCATAGTGCACTGTTGTATCTGATTCCAAACTTGATCTGCATGGTATACAGCGTCATGTCACTGGTACGGTATCAATTATTTATTTCTTCAGACTATCGTTAAAATTTTTTTTGGTAAGTGTTCTCGCAACTGCATGAGGCTGTATGAGAGCGCGGGTCAGTTTGGTAGGAATTAATTTTGAATTTTGCCCGGGTGGCTGCCGAAGCCTACTCTTATCGTAGACCACCAAGGGGTCTTTTCTTTAACATGCGCAACTTGCACACGGGACATCCAATAAATTGGAGACGAAAGCAGATGACAGAACAAGATTAAAGGGCAGGAAAGGAGGTAAAAGAAAATTTTAGAGAAAAAAAATTGTCCATCACTGTCAGGTTTTTAACCCGGGACCTATTGAACAAAAGAAAAACCGCTTAACCTCTTGACCATGAGAGCACCTCTAATAACATTTTTTGGGGGGTGTTTTACGGCGGCCGCAACTGCATTAGGTCATAATATGAGCGTGCGGAACACATTAATTAAACATTTTCAGTTGGTAGGAAATTTTGAATTTTGCCGGGATGGCGGCTGGGGCCTACTCTATAAATCGATTTTGGACCACCAAGGGACTTTTACCGTGCGCAACTTGCACACGGGACCTCCAGATTTTCGTTTTCGCTTTTCGCCCTTGTCTGAGAAGGCTAGGTGTAGATCTTTCCTACCACAAGATCAGGGGTGTGCTGAAAGACAGCAGTAAGGAGGAGGCATGGAGTAGCAGTAATACATGTACTAGAAAGGCCGCAGAAAGAGCTAGGAGCCCAGAGGAGGGGGCAAAGGAAGTGAGGGGGATGGGTTCAGAAAGTGAAGACGAAAGCAGACGACAGAACATTGCCAGAGAGCAAAAAGGAGGTTAACTGAAAGAAAACAATTTAGTGAAAAGAAATTTCCATCGCTATCCGGGTTCGAACCCGGGACCTATTGATGAATGAGACTCGAACACCCTGACCATGAGAGCCCCCGAACAACATTTAAGCTCAAACATTATGAATGATTATGTAGACAGGAAGTTTATGATGATGAGTTTGTGGGCTCAATATACATCTGGTGTGTGTGTTTGTGTGTGTGTGTGTGTGTGTGTGTGTGTGTGT